TGGACGTCCGGGTGCTCCATTACGTCCTGGTTTGCCCGGTTTTCCTGCTGGTCCTTGCGGGCCCATAGGACCTGGTAAGCAGCATCCGGCGCAGGATCCCTCAGCACCCGTACCTCCACTTACTGCAGCATCCTGAGAGCCTTGGTCATACCCAGCCTGACGTGCCGTTCGATTTGCTCTGGCAATTGGATTGTTTCGCAATTGACGTACTTCTGTCCAGATGTCTCTGGCAGAACCCTGCAACTGTTGTCAGTGTTTCGGGAAAAATCATTTAAACAGTAATTCTATCGCTGTTAATTCAAACACCGTTTTCTAGTTTTATGTCGCTGGTGGTAGTAATATGTTTTAATCCCGTGATCAAGGTCACTCAGACCACAGCCGAAAAAGCTTCTGTCTGTTTGTCGATCAGTTTAAGTCGTTTGAATGATGACCTGTGAAATGATGAGAAAAAGGGTTTTTGAATTACCAACAAATGTTTTTGCAACAGGTTTCAAAGGTCGCTTTTTAAAACCACTGGGGAAAGTTATTGGAAGTTATGCTGTATGTTAATTAAAATCTAAGTGTCTAAACCAAAAGGTTCGGCAGCTGCGCTGTTTTCTATAAGTCTACAGTCAGGAGGCTTTTAATCAACAGATTTGCTAAATTTTTACAGTAGGATGGCAAACTGAATGCAAATTACAGTAAATACTCGAATAAGCTCACTTATTAGATACTCGAATAAACTTACACAGTTAAAAAGCATTGATAAGAGGTTTCATCAGACTGTATAAAAAATCTCAGAATTAAGTGGCAGGTGAAAAAATAAAAAAGTGCCAACAAGAAACACAAAAAAATTAACGCAAAAAAATAAGGGGCAAAATTAAATTTCATAGAAAACAGCCCATCGGCAGAATTCAACCTTTATAATTAAAAGTGTTTTCGAAAGCTGACAATTCAGTGCATAGAAAAATCTTAGCTTGCCGTCTTCCAACATCGTCAACACCGATCATCCGTGCCATCGATGTGATGCAAATGCTGCCATATTATTGAAATGACCAAAATAACAGGCTCAGAAGACAAATGATTTTGGCTGGATAAGTTCAGTTCATCCCCACATCGGTACAGCGTCTCATCATGGTCAAGAAATGGCAAAGTTTGGGATGAAGCGATGATGCTCAATACATTTTGAAGCGGCTAAAGCCTTTCAAGCGCTTTCATTGGGAAAAAAACAGTTGAGCTGAGGATCACTTCAGAAGAAAAAAAAAACGTTAAAGTCGCTAGCAGAATGGCCAACAAGTGATACAGCATTGATTAAAGCGACTGAAAAGTTGTCAGCTGCATAGCTGGAGAACCAGATTATTACAAATGATGCAA